AAGAATACATGGCGCCTAAACCCAGAAGACGACTTTCTTCATATTGTAACATGTTTGGGGTAGATACTTCCATGGCAACGCAATAAAAGTGGGCCGTTGCGTAGACAATGCCGAAACAACAAACGTGTTTCGCCGGAGATGAACAACAGAAGGCCGTTGAGCACCAACGGGTGAGACGAAACACATTACTGCCGTAATCTATAGAGGGTGTTCTCGAAGCAACGGATTGCTGAACAAGTGAGGTCGAACCTTGGTGAATGGTGTCTCGTATCCTGTCCGCAGAATACCTACATAAGCTGAGAGCAACAGAGCTACATCATCGCAGAGCTAATTAGCCTTCACACAGGACAGTTGGAATGTAGTCGAGACGTCACAGACGTGATAACAATTGTATGGTGTGTAAGAGTGAATGTCCAATAAAGATTCACTGAATCCGAGACCCACGTGAATTTATCTGTCGCGTGACATAACCAACACAAGACAACTGGTGTTAGAAGCGGGATCAGTTCAGATTCTGAGATGAACTTAAAAGATTGGACTTACACAGGTAACCGACAAGGAGCAAACTTAAAACACGCCTCCATTGACAAGGACTTATTGAATTTATGAGCACAAGGAGCATTACATTACAAAATAAAGAAGAATGGAGTCACAACAAATGACGGAACTCCCGCTGGCTATGCGAGAAGAAGCGGGAAGGAACCAGGCGAAGGCAGACGCCAGACATGAACACATGATGGCTGATTGGAGATCCTGGTGAGAAAAGATAGACGCCAGCCACAAGGAGACAGTGGCCGAACTCAAACCCGAAGTGGACAGAAAAGCCATGCGGGAAGAAGTCAAACCCAAAAAAGACCCAGAGATGACTGCCTACCAAGAGATGGAGGCACATGAAGATGAGAAGAGGCCGACCTCATCGGACAGGAGACCTGAGGTGGCACAGAAAGAAGAGGTCCCTAAAGAAGACGCCACAGTAATGCCGGTCAGAGAACCGAAGAAGAAAAGGTGCAGAGACTGAAAACTGGCCACGGAGTGCCGCTGCCAGAAAGCGAAGGATTTGTCGTGAGAAAATTGCAAACCCCAGAAGTAATTGGCCGTCGCCTGCAGAGGGACAACATGCCATGCGAAAGTGGCACGGAAAACGCCAATAGACCGGAAGGTGTCCTGCCGTGCAACAGTGGCATGGTGCAACAGGAACATCTTCAGGAAATCTATGACCCAAGGAAATTGTGGACCGTGGCATGAATTGGCTGCTGACAGAAATATGACTAGTCGTGCACGTGCAACACGGCGCAACGGAGATCTCATAAAGAAACATTCAACCAGGGTCAATGCTGAACAAGAAGCCTGGAAAGGACGAACGGAAACAAAGAATATAGGCGGCAGACGGTCGCTACGCCAGAAGAAAAAGGACGCCACCGGAGGGTGTAGATCAGGACAGCGATCGCACCTAGGAGGGATAAGGACTCATAAGAAGACCTTCTATGAGACTGTCGGCGTGAAGATCGGAAAGCGAATAGTCAGATCTTCTGTCAGCCTACCACAAGACATGGACTGGACACTGTGGAGGTGTCGACCCCTCCAATACAGAAGGAAGGAAACGGCCCGTATGGGAGGAACCAGTAACGTAGAAGTACCGGCCTCCCCAGCAAGGATGAATGGAGAATGAAAGTGAAGAATGAATGTGAGACAATGGGACCGACAACCACTGAACCTTGGAAGTGCTCGGGGCGAGCACTCTGGAAGAGGGGGGCAGGATGGAAGGAAGGCAAGACACCGGAGAAAAGGCAGACGTAACACGTAGAAGATGAACACCTTAGGAAACGAAACCAAGGATGCACCGTTAGGCTGTTCGAGACAAATAACCTTTAGAAGGGGGCAATGTAACGTGTTTGGAGTAGATACTTCCATGGCAATGCAATAACAGTGGGCCGTTGCGTAGACAATGCCGAAACAACGAACGTGTTTCCCCAGAGATGAACAACAGACGGCCGTTGAGTACCAACGGGTGAGACGAAGCACATTACTGCCATAATCTATAGAGGGCGTTCCTTAAGCAACGGATTGCCGAACAAGTGAGGTCGAACCTTGGTGAATGGTGTCTTGTACCTGGTCCGCAGAATACCTACATAAGCCGAGAGCGACAGAGCTACATCATCGCAGAGCTAATTAGCCTTCGCACAGGACAGTTGGAACCTAGTCGAGACATTGCAGACGTGATAACACAGATGATAACAATTGTATGGTGTGTAAGAGTGAATGTCCAATAAAGATTCGCTGAATCCGAGACCCATGTGAATTTATTTGTCGCGTGACATACCCAACATCTGACAATATTTTATAAGTATTTCACATCTTTAAAATGCAAACTGCAGCAGTGTGACAAGGCAGCAATGATGGCCAGTGGGGGCGAAACATGGAGTGTTGAAATAACAGGAAGGGACTAGTGCTTTTTAAAGTGTTAATTTTAATACATCAACAGAGCTGCAAAGGATGGTGAGAAGTGCAAGTGTTAATTTAGAATTAAATTAGTGTTTATAGTTATACCTTCTTGATAAACATGGATGTAGTACAGGAAATTTAAATTTTCATTTTTAAATGAATGGACTTGAAAATGCTGATATTCGCACCAGAAACAGGGTCTTGTGTAACCATGAAGGAATGATGACTTAGCACAAGCACGGAAATACACTCAACGTTCAGAGGTTAAATATTAAACTATTGCTCGTAGATACACGTTGTTGATAAAACATGGACATGGTACAGGTAATTTAAATGTACAAGTTTAAATGAACCTGCTTGAAAATGCTGATATTCATGCCAGAAACAGGACCTTGTGTGAACTTGAAGAAATGCTGTCTTAGCAGAGGCACTGAAATACATGCAAATGCACAGCATCCTTGGCACTTCCATTTTATGTGCTTCTCACAGGAATGCAATCATTTCAAGAACATATAATTCCCATGAACACAAAAGAGAATCTATTTGAATAATTTTAGGACAAGGAGAAGAAATCTGTAACTAGTGACTAACAACAGAGTCTTGTTGTGTACATAGCAGAACCTCCAAAATCAACTCCCATTACTTATACCATAATTGGTACAGATGTTCAGGCTGGAATGTTCTCTTAGACAAAAACTGCAAGATACAGTGGATTCTCATTTAAAATGCTAATGGTCAGGTCTAAAGGTACATAAGATTAAATGCATTATAAAATCTTCTTAGGAAATCAGCTGCACTGGAGCATACTTCAGAGAACTCTGTCATTAAGAACTACAGCTGCTGATCACCTTGGAAGATTTTATCACTTTTAGTCGCCATGAAAGCTTAAAATCTTACTAAAAGCATGGTTAACACAAGCTGATATAAGCAGCCTGCATAGAAGGAAGTACATGTCAGTGTCTTAACTGTAAATGGGCTCACTATATGCTTCAAATTGCACTCATACCCCATATACATGCCCCTCATTTGCTCCCTTACTCTTCCTACTTTTTAGATTTAGAACAGTGTATGGGACAAACATGGAAGAATGTTTGTTACATAATGACAGAATGGTGGTGTGCAAAGAGTAGCACTTGTACAAAATGGAAGTGTTAGATTTGTTCCTGCAATCGATAATAAAATTATGTCCATCTTATTATAAAGAAGTTATTACAAACCCAGACTAATTAGTGACTTATAAAGGTAAAGCTGTCCCTGTGCTTAATTATGTATTTAAGCACTGTGCCATGAAGGCATATGGGGAAGTGGAGGTACAGCTTCACAATTCTTGACCTCAGCACTTGATGCAGGTGAGTGGTAAGCTTCATGCCAATGCCACTTTACAACCAGGGATAGAGTTCCTGGCACCCATTGAACAGGAGGCTGTGTGGGCCCCGAATTGGGCCAGGGTGCTATGGAGAACAGAACAATCTCTTGCTCCTGCTGGGAATCAAACCCCAGTTGACAAGCCCATAACTTAGTTACTATACTCATATGCTGCTTTATTTCCCACCACTCAAATTGCATGTTAAAGATTGAAAGAAACAGTCCAATAGGTGTGTAAGGTAAATGGGTAAAGCTGTCCCTGTGCTTAATTACATGCCATGCCATGAAAATGGTATGGGGAAGTAGAGGTATAGGTCCACCAATCTTGACACCGACAAGCATAGAAGCGAGTGGTCAGCTTCATGCCCCCGCTGGTTTATCATCAGGGAAAGGGGACCCAGTACAGGAGGCTTGGTAAGCCCCAGAGCTCATCTGGCCACTGTGGAGGAGAGAAAGTCTACTGTCCCTGCTGGAACATTCAAGATTGCTTATATTATTACATTCCTGTCTTGTTCTCATCACTAGTACAGATTTGCCCCTGAAACTACAGAGGTAAGAAACAGCGTGGGGAAAGAATACCTACTCAGTCATGCCCATGAAAGAAACCTACTCTCACTAAAGTACCAACTGATTAAGCATTTCCCACCCCACTTCATTCCTCACTAGAAGAAATGGACACAGCTAGCCTCCAAATTGTTAAAAACACTCATTACAAACAATGGAGAAACGTGTAACATTCAGCAACATATCCTTACTTCATCACCTTAACTGATCTTCCTCTTCATCCATGAAAACCATGAAACTATCATAATTCTTTACAGAAATGTGTTATACTCAATAATCAAAGCCCAAAATTCCAGTTAAAATTTTCCACAAATAACCATCCAAATGCTTTCATATTTTAATGGAGTTCCATTCTGATAAAACTACAAAAATATTGGAATTAAAGAATATAAGCTTTGTGAAAATATATTACATGAATTACAGAAAATGATAATTCATGGCTTAGTGCACATGCTGCACACTGAAAACAAGATGTCTCCTTCAGATTTTCATTATGATCTTAATTATCCTGTACATATTCCAAAATACTGTCACTTGGAGGTACAAACAATCGGAACATGGCCATGTATTCGACACAGAACACACCCTATGAAGCACATATATGTACGTATTTGTTTCATATCAAGATCATGCCACCTCTACATCTCTCAGATACAAACTAATACAGGCATGAGCAAACACAACCCTCTCATGCTAATAACAATGCAAATGTCATATCAAGCATGAGAAAGTTTATATCTTATTTACCATTTACTTTTCCAGAGGAGGCACTGGTAATTCACAGCAAGATTATATGGCACACTGATAAATGAGAGTGTACTATTATTTTTTTACAAAACATTGTTAACACAATATGCCAGAAAGTCCGGAATATTGAGCTGTGGTTATAACAGTAATAAGCACCTATTTCACATGACTGTACTATCATACACAGCAGCAACCAATGAAATTATGAAATGAGGTCTTTTATAAATTTTGTTTGCAGCTGAGTAACAAACTCAACATATTTTGAATGTGCATTACGATATTGTACGTGATACTGCCTAGCCAAGGCATGTGATATCAATTAGGATAGCATTACTTATGGCAGTTGATTCTCTTCAGCAAAACGTTTTGCATGTAATTAAAGTGGCACTGTTTCTTTATAATTAGAGAAACAGCCATCTTGTCTTTAAATGTACATGTCAAGCGGTGGGTATAGCCAATATCTTATTTCGTTGCATATTAAACTACCTGCAAAATCAACATCAAGCTCACTGGCATGGCATGTTGAGATCAGAGCTCAATATGCTCTTTTGGTGGATGCTGCTTGACAAACAGGCCCAAGTCTGATGATCATTCTGAAGGTGGCTGATGAGCTGATGTGGCTGGTGAGTAACAAAGTTGGCACTGCCTAACTTGATACCTGGCATTTAGGGTAGGAACTCGACGTAATTTTCAGGAACAAGACCTGTCTTCCCATTAAGGGTCCCCTCCAACCAGCCAGGTTCTAGAGATGACCGCACTGGAAGATATAACAGACATACACTTATGCTGAACCAACATCTATACTCGTATATTTATTCTTTTGTCTGTATATAAAACAATATTCAGTTCATTTCTTTATCACCTATGTCAACATTTACAAAATGTATAGACATTAGTAGGGGGCACGTGGTAGCGTAGTTGGTTGAGGCACTATGCCACAAGCCGGAATATCGTGGGATCGAATCTTGATTAGGTGGATTTTTTCAATTTACCCAATCTTTCCAGCTGCATTATGGCCCTGGGGTCGACTCAGCCTCTCACACAAAAATGAGTACCAAAAATGTTCTTGGGGGTAAAGGGCGGCAGGCGCGCAAGGATGACAACATCAACATATCACAACCCTATGGGCCTCCACAGCCTGTTACAGGGATACCTTTACTCATTTACTTGACCTCTTATAGGCATTAGTAAACTCTTCCACCCTTGGAACAAAGTTGACAGGTTCCTCTCAAACACTGGTAACTGTCTACCGGACTATGTGGTGTCATATCCTAGAAGACAGTATTTTTGTGCTTTTGCATGTTGCAAGCCTGGTACACCACATGCTCTTGCAGGCCTTGTCAGACATATGTGGCTGTTTCTGTGATGTATTTAATTACGTTATAGAACTGTACTTCTAGAGAACTGTACTTTTTTTTTAACTATGAGTTCACATGGGAAGAGTAGTTGACCCGTCACAAAAAAGATACTGGTATACACCACTGATGAAAAGATTTAGCTTGATATATCAAGCAAGTTTGCTCAAGGGGTAATGCTCCTGACTTGCAGTTGGGAGGTGCCCAGGCAAACGCTGGGACAGTACCTTGAATTAGGTTATGACTGTTTCCTTCCACATCTTTTCCGTTCAGTGTTCACTAGCATCAATCATTCAATGCTGTACAGTCTGAGTTAGAGACAGCATCATCAAATTACACATAAATACAAATTCACTTGGCTATCAAATTGCAGTTAATTTCTGACCCTTTTAATAACGAAACATTTCCTTTTCTTCAGGCACTGATAAATGGCCCCTACAGTATGGATCATAAATACCAGGAATTACCATTTCCTTTAAGTTCAGTAATAATAATAATAATAATAAACCTTACCATTTGTTATGATCTGATTAGGTTCGAATGATAGTTCTCCATCATTTTCTCCCAAACATGCATACAATGTTCGCACCCTTCTGTTGGGGAAAGAGAGAACAAAATGAGTATGATTTATGCTAAAGATAAATATTATTTACAATAATTAGTTGTATTAAATAGTACCTGTACATTACAAGGTAAAAAAGAAACACTGCATGTAACACAGAATTCTCAATAAATATGCTGTTCACAATAAAGAGAGAAAAAGGCACTCACCGGTACACTATCCTCAGAAACATGTACAAGGAGTATGAAATAAAATTGATTTTCATGTGGAAAGAAATTTCACTTCATGTTTTACATTTGCACTGAACACTTCCTGAAATACTTTTGTTTTCTTAAGGTTTTAATGTGTGTGTGTGTGTGTGAAAAAGTCACATGCCAGATAACATGCCTTTATACCAAATGAAAATGATGCTAGATTACTGCTAATCCAAGTTATTCTGGTAAGAAGATCCAAAAATAACTGCAAATTTCAAAATAAATGGTAATAATAAAATAGCAAAAGAGTACCTCAGTATCTTCATGCAGTCAGATTACAAATATTAACAACCTAATAGCAGAAATACAAAGCTATTTGTAAACTGCTAACACATGTACAAGTGGAATGGCACAAAATGGAAATGAGTGATGAGCTTCAAGTTCTGGCTACCTTACCAAGTGAAAAGAGCGTTAAGAAGCCAATGGACTGGAGACAAGAAGATTCCAAGCTAGCAAAGAGAAAAATTCCTGTCACTTACCATAATTAGAACCCCAACCATCCAACCCTTTTGTATTCTTACTTAAGAGCTACTGTAATGTGTACAATGATTCTGGAAGCTCTTAATATAACACTGCTTCCTCCTTGATCTCCATGCCACTTCATCGGCACAAACATATAGTGTTGCTCTTGTTTGTATGCATGTGTCTACAATGAGGGGGTTCAGTGTGCAACAGAACTTACAGTACTAAACAAATTCACAAGGTTTGTGCACACTCAATTTTTGCCTAAGTGTAACAAATGCATAACAATACACTAAGAAAACAGAATACATGAAGAATAAAACATTATAGCAGTATTTGTAACATCTGCTACAAAAGTGTAAAAAATCAACAGTATACTGAACATTTACAACATGCAGAATATCCAAGACAAAGAGAGTTGAAAGATACATTTTAAAGTGAAACAAAGAGTGGAAAGATATATGTTCACGGTATCCATATATCCAATTTTACGAAGTTCTCAAATCTTGACCATAGCACAAAAAATACGAAAATAGAGAAAAATATATATTTCACTACACCTGCAACTTTTGTCACACTTTTTCCTTTGATGCAATTTCAAAATAATAAATATATAAGTTCATATTAAGAATAGCTCAAGTTGGCCAATTTATAAAATCACATTTTATCAAGAATATTTACACATTAACTCCCAACATAAAATTTATTAAAATGTAATCAAAGATTCAAGAATTTATACATGTGACAGACACGACAGTCAGGACAGACAGACAGACAGACAGACATGGTTGGAGAAATTAACATGTTCTGAGACGTAACACTGTGTAGTTTGACAGATAGGTAACAGTGTTTTTAGAAGACTTTTTGTCTCCATCTTCAGGGTAGAAGAGGGGCTGCAAATTATTTCAAAATTTTGGTACCTTCCTGCCAAACTATCTTACATTAAAAAAGACAGTATTTTTCATAGTCACTGCCATGAAAACCTCAAATCTCACATGGTAGGAGAGATTTTCAAACACAGAGATGGGCAGAGACAAAGGAAACAGAATGTGCCAGTCAGTTATTTGTTTTATGCATACAGGATGTTTACAAACTGACATCAAAAGTCATGTGATGTCCAACTCTTTCCACCCAACTATTTCAATACAACACAAACATAAGCAGCAATGGGTATGGGAAGAATATAGGGGACGGAAGTTATTCTCACCTGACAGCAGGGGTGGCAGCACTTGACATGCCTCTGGCTGTTGAGCTAGAAGAATGTGTCATCCTACTGAGCAAAACATACAATGATAACACAAGCTTCCATTCTCACACAAGGCATTTTCTTGCTGTTCAAATTATGAGTTGATAATGAATTTTGATCATGTCTAATTCACACCGGTACATTATGTTATTTGGTCTCGTTTAGATAAAACTAGTTATATTACAATGCAGAATGGTAATAATGAACATGGCTGACTGACCAATTCTTCACCCTTTGGAGCACAATGGTCATGGGCACCAGCAAAGGGGGGCATAAACTAGGCATCTGCCCCCCTACTCCAAGATATTTGGGGAGAAAGAAAGGAAGAGAGAAGGAAATTAGGAAAAAGAGAAAAGAAAGAAAAAAGAACCAAAACTGAAGAAGAAAATGAAATATATCAATAATGCAAGTTGAAAGCACTTTTTTTAAGTTAGTAGATAAAATCTTAAATGGCTTAAAAACTTGCACAAGTTTGTCAGCAAATTTTCTACCTATTGCAAAGAATTCACAAGCTATAACTTCAACAACACATGGTATGGATCTCTCTCTCTCTCTTTCAGATGGCTCACATATTGCCAACTGCCAATACAGCTCCAATTTGTTGCTGATAACTAGAAACAGTGTAACAGGAGCAGTATTTCCACACCTTTGCCTGTCAGTGGAGCAAACAACAGATTGTGACTGGAGGGAATTTCATATTAGTGTCCTCATATCACAAAAGAAGGAAACTCTCTCCTGATAATGCAGATGTTTAAATGATCTGCACAATGGCTGAACACAAAATGACTACTATCACAACAGAGTTGGTAACACATTCCCACCCCCTTACATAAGGCGCACACATCCTGGCCGTTCCCTCAGTCGTGGTAAACTATCAGCCATGTAACACACTTCAGTGCAAAGACATTTGGAAAAAACTCTAACTGTGGCATACCCTTCTCCCATTTCTACTGTTACCATTAGACAATCTCTCTTCTTCCCTTCCTCAAACCCGCAATGGTTATTCAGGATGAAAACAAATGAAAACCTAGATTACACTTATATGTGTGACTATGCCAAATAAATTAAAATAATCAGGAAGTCAACATGCAAATCAGATAACCCAAGGCTCAATAAACAGGAACTGACTGTACCAAAGACTGCCATAATAATACAATATTGCAACTTCTTTATACAGTGAACCTTGACATCCAAGTCAGCACTTGCTTTCAATTAGTCTTTAATCTCCTAGGATATTATGCTTCTTTAATGGCTTCAAATTAACAGAATTTTTTAACTTTGTAATATTTTGTCATACAAACCAATGGCACATATAAAACACAAAAGATGGCATAATCTCTGTAAATCATTTACATACTACATGTTACTAAAACAGTCATAAACTCTGATACACTAATGAAATTGAATGACCTCATTTAAGGCAATGAATGATAAGAATATCTTGGTATGTACACCCACTACCAAGTAACAGCTGTGTAAACAGGCGACAGCACAACAGCCGTTACTAAGGAACAGCTCAGTGGACACGTTTCCCCAGCAATGAGAGAACACACAGTAATGGAACATACATGGTGTGTCCAGGATCCGTGTGGACCAATTTTTTTAAATTTTGTCCTGCAATGCCATCGTTGGCAAGTTGAGGCATTAAGATTCTTGAAGTGTCAGCTGTGGCTGTATATAATATAAAAGCGCAAGCATCGCTGCATCATGTGTTCTGACCTTGAATGTAACAGTACTGTTCTGACGCTCATCAGAAAATGGCGGTTGAACAAAGAGCCAACATCAAATTTTGTTTGAAGTTATGCAAAACAGCCAGAGAAGCGTACAAAATGATTAAAAGTGTGTACGGTAGTGACTGTTCGATGCTCGAACATTTTTTGATGGTATGCTGTATTTCGTGATGGCAGGGAGGACATTGAAGATGCTCCACATGCATCAAAGCCAAGAACAAGTCGCAATGAAGAAAATGTGAAAAAAGCGATCGAAATCCTTGCATCAGACAATGTGTTTCTGCAAGACTCATCGAGGAGATTTTTGGAATACCAAAAAGTACTGTGCACCAAATTTTGACCAAGGATTTGCGTGGTTTGTACCAAACGCGCCGTCTGGCAATAAAAAACATGCCAAGAATGGAACACTGCAAAGACATGTTATGGTCAGCTCAAAGTGATACAAAATTGATTGTTACTGGTGACAAGACATGGTGTTTTCAATATGAGCCTCTCACAAAGCGGGAGAGTGCAGCGTGGTTGAGCCCAAAAAAGTGTGCATGCAAAAGAGTCGAGCAAAGACACTGCTAACCATTTTCTTTGATTCCAAAGGAATCATTCACAATGAATTTCTGCCAGAAGGTCAAACAGTGAATTCTGATTATTATCTTGGAGTCCTCAATCGTTTGTGGGCTAGAATTCTTAGAATTTGACCTGAATATCAAGACCAAGGTTCCTGGTTACTCCTCCACGAAAATGCCCCACCCCACAAATCAAAGATCGTGCGTGATTTTTTGGCCAGAAAAGGGATCACAGTCCTTGATCATCCTTTGTATTCGCCAGATTTGGCTCCAGCAGATTTCTGATTGTTCCCAAAAGTTAAGTTGGCAATGAAAGGAAACCATCATGACAATGTGCAGGACATCCAAAGGGAATGTATTGCAGTTTAAACGCAATTCCACAAAAGGAGTATAGTGACTGTTTTCAAAAACTTTTCAATCGATTCCAGCTATGTACTGATTCAGGGGGAGACTATTTTGAATAGAAAGAGTGAAATTTTGAAAATAATTCATGTCTTGTAGTTTTAATGAACACAGTCCTAACAGAACCTGGACACACTGTGTATGTTTTCTGTGAGGTCCATGCTGGGGCTATATAATGAGGACTAGTAGTTCAGTTGTGGTTGAGTCATTTGAAATTTGCAAGTTGTGTGAAGTGAGCAGCCAGTAGCTAAGGCCAGGGACAGTTCAGGAACCCAGAGGAAGGGAAACATCTGCCATTGGAAGCCACTACCAAGCAATGGCTAGTGAAGACAGAGAAGACTTTATGTATGCTGTAGTTACGGTGATCTTTGGAGCGTATAACTCAGTGAGACTGTCGTAGTTATTTGTAATTACAAGAGTAAATATCAAATAAATCCAGTAACCAATCCAAACCTCATCTCTAGTCACTCTGAATCACATAACTACTGCACAATCATTTTGACATACAACTATTAAAAACTAAATAAAATAAAATAAAAAATAAAATTATACTTACAAAGCTTCAGGAGCTTTGTAGCTAACTGCATAATGGAGTCCCAGGATACTGCCTATGTGAACAGAATTATGAGTGCATTAGAGCCAGGAAATAATTACAAATTTTCACCCGAATTAAATAGATGCCATATTCATACTCAGAAATCATACACATAAGATATATATTCAACTTGTAACACAATACACCAGCAAATATTATTGTTATTGATCATGGGTTTTTTAATCACTACAGATTCATATATAGCAAGTGTCACTTCGAACAAGGCCAAGAGTAACCTTGAATGTGAAGAAGATAAATTTCAGACAAGGAGGTGGGTTCGAGGGTGTGAGAAGTGATAGGCGGCCAGTTGTTTGTAAGGCACCCTCGAAGCAGGTTATACTTACGGTTTTTCTATCATCTGTTTAAAAATGTCAGTTTCCTTGTGCGCTAAATTGTACATAATGAGTAAGAAATTAGGTCAGGGTATATTTTAATTTTCAAAGTATAAATTAGTAATACACATTAAACGTATTTTTCTTTGCTTGACAAGTGACAATATATTTGTATTATTGTAATACTGTTCTTTGAAAAGAGAATAGGGTAGTTTCAATGAAACACGAAAATGGAAGAACGACTGTTAAACTCCTCTCACCACAAGCTATGCGCGGGATTTGACTAGGAATGCAGGGCCTTGTTCGAAGTTATGTGACACTGTCTATAACAAAAGTGCATCAACTTTCAGAAAAACAATAACAAAACTGAGAACCTGATGATTATTACTTGTTTGTCAAAAGATTTTGTTCCAGTACACAACTTCCAGCAAAACAGAGTAATGATGTAATTAAAAAAAAACAATTATGACTGTGATAACAATATTCACTGATGTATGATGTTACGAGTGACAGCTGAATATACACCACATGATAAAATACAACAGGATGCTACAATACAGCATTATTATACACACACCATAAATAGAGTATGGAGAGAATAACTATCAATACAGACTGCATAGTATCACTGACACCAAGTGAGACACTGGAAAAGGTAGACTGTGAAGATGGAACAGGCCTCATTATCCACATGGCTGAGGATATCATTTTGTGACATACAGACCCACTGTTAGGCAACAGCTCGATAAACACCTTACGGCAGAGACAGATTCTTGGTAAACAGCCTGTTGCTCTAGGTAAACACATTCCAATGAATATGCAACAATAGAGGACATCCACTGCTAAGCAATGGATGTGTTTTCTGTGAGGTCAGGCCCAAGGCTATATAACGAGAATCCAACAGTAACTGGTAGTTCATTTCGAAGTCAAGTTCCAGTGCACTGTTCAGTCGGAAATGTGTCAAATAGTGAGTTGTCAAGAACTGAGTCAGAATAGACAGAGTCAAGGAGTTGTAGATCTGAATTCAGGGTGTTGGCAGTCGAAGGTGATAGCAAAAAAGAAATTTGACTGTGCCAAGAAGACTTGGTGTCTAGTTGAAGACTGTACATATGCTGTAGTTACAGTGATATTTCAAATTACAGTCAGACTAGTGAAAGCACACGAGGAAGATTCAGTGTGGAGTGATTAGCAGTGTGAGAATCCAACCATTCAATCCAAAACTCATCTTATATAAGTCATCCCTACGCGTGACAATATTGTATAACACTCATTACCATTCTTCAGAATTTATATTCATCAATGCTGCTCCATAAAAACCAAAGATGTGGCATCTCTTATTTAATCAGGATGCAAGAGGTTTTATTCCATTGCAATTATTAACCTTTATCNTCGTATGGGACATGTCGGTATGCACGACTGTAGGCGTCTGAAATCGCTCGCTGTGTAATGTGTTAGATAGACACAGGAGTTAATTCTCGGAATATGGTGTTGCCAGATCAGTCATTCGTTCATTCATTGCAGTCGAACCATTGTGTTTGTAACGATTTTGAAACATCTCAACATAAGGTTAGCCACCCATGACATCATGTAGCATGTTTGAAGCAGATATTTGGTTCAGCCAAGATGTGAATGAGATTTTTGTATGTGTGGGCTCAAGGTTATGATTTATGGCTTCTTATCATGGTCTAAGCACAGAGATTCACTGCTAGAGAGCCGTATAGTTCACCATGGCCACATGACGACGTTGAATGGAAGATGCTGAAATTGAGAAACAGCTGTTCAATGACACAGATTCGGACTGCTATTCAACCGATTCTGAGAGTGGCGAGAAAAGTTGGAGTTCTGATTCCGCGGATGAAGGGTCATCACCTTCGTCGGCAACTTGGGGACCGCCACACCAGTGTGGCTGGAGAGGCGTGAATAATTATTCCAGTGTAGCTGCGGGGATAAATATCACTGCAGCTCGACATCACTGGCCTGCTTCCTCTAAATCGCAACTCAGGTGTTGTGTGTGCTCTTCGCGTGGGAAGCTGTCTAGCGTTCGTACGAAGTGCATGAGCTGCGACGCCGGACTCTGCATTTCGGAATGTTTTCGGCAGTACCATATGAAGGCCACATTACCATAGATGACGCAGGAGGGAAGGCTGCTTCCTCATGAAGATGGTGAACATATATCACGTAAGTAGACCAAAAATTTAATTTTAAAAAAATCTTTACACGCATGCAATGCGCGAAATCATATGAGGTCGTTCGGCCATATGATGTCGGTAGATTACATTAGATCACGCAGGAGGGAAGGCTGTCACCTTATAAAGGTTGTGACCAAAAATCATGTAAATAGAACAACAATATATATTTTAAATTTAATTTTAAAAAAACCTTACACACGTGGAATCCGCGACATCATATGATGACGTTCGGCCAGCTGCCCTAACTTTTAACATCATATGATGACGTTCGTCCAATAAATGTTACTGCAACAGGATGCTTAACTACAATATTATTGGTAACAAATATCTTGATGCTTACCTCGTTTAGTCTTTTGAGGAGAATCAGCAGGGTATTTATTGTGATTGTCAGTGTTCCATACAGGTGGGGAGGACACTGATTCATTGGAACTACTTGTGCAACTATTAGCCTGGTCTACACCCTCTGAGTTGGCTGAGGAACAGAAAGATACATACAATACAAAGGTGCACTTCTGATATACTATACATAATGACACAATCAATATAGCAGATGCAACAATAATAACTTAAGTTTTAAACCATACTAATCAGAATATTCATTGACTGGAAACAAATATTCAGAATTTAAACTGTAAAAGGTAAAGTTGTCCCTGGGCATAATTAAGGACCACATGATAAAGATGTATGGAGAAGTGAAAGTACAGTCCCATGTACTCTGAACCCTGGTCATGGTGAGTGGTAAGATTAATGTTCCAGCTGGTTTACTTCCTGAGAAAGAGCCCCATATCCACTCGACAAAAGAATGGGTTGCCCCAGAACCAGTCAGAATGCAGTGGTGAAGAAAAAATCTCTCACCTCTGCCCTGAATCCAATTAATTTGCACATTATCAATAGTACTTACAAACTAGTCATATAAATTTACTCACCCATATTTCCATACAGGAAAGCATTTTTATGCTGCATATGATACTGAGGACTATATCTATGCTGCTGAGAGCCAAGGGCCAACAGATTGCTTTCTGAGTAAGCCCCAATGCTGCCTTGAGGTCCACCTCTCATGGTCATCACTCCTCTCAGCTTCTGATTTGGCATTAAATGATGCTGTTGATGTCCCACATTGTTCATGTGCTCTACTTGCCCCATGACATAACCTACACCATTACCTTCTTGTTCACGACCTCGTGCCACATTGTGGAGACTCGAACTGAGGGGCACTGGTATAGGCTCATCATAATATGATTTGATTACAGTCTGTATTAAGGAAAAAATGTTATAAGTAAACAGAATACTTGCCAAACTGAACTTCAATATCTGCAACTGGAAATGTTAAATTGTACCTGAAGTAGTTTTGATGACTAGTAAAGTGTGCTTACAACTTATAAATGTGATATATTATAAAGGAAAAACCTACGCCTCACTGCAATTTATGGAATTTCTAAACATATACAATATGAATGCATAGCTGCGAGATAAATAAACAAACAAACAAACAAACAAATAAATAAATACTAGTTCACAGAAAAAGAAGTATTAATTGAAATTTAATTACATTTAGATTTAAATGACTTGCCATGATGTAAAATTTTTGTGATGATTTCACTTTACAATTTTTCATTAATATGTTCCTGTTGTAACCGTCCAGTTTATGTGATGGTCAATTGATGTTTTGTGTATGGTTATGGTTCTGTGAGATTCCTCACTTTCGCCTCACAATTTGAAATTTTCCACCTGAGACACGCAGCAAGTGGCTTGGGTCAAGCTTGAAGCCAGCTGCCCATCCGTAAATCAGCCAAGTTAATGCCTAACACAAGGCCAAGTTCTTTATAAATTCTAAACTTGACAGGGGAAGTCATAATTTTAGCAGCGTCGTTTTCTGCTACCCCAAAAATCTTGGTTTGACAGCCATGCAGCAGGTGGTAAAGTTCACCCCTAAACTGTACACTAGTTGATATTCGCTTTCCTAATTGGAGGAGAAACATAAGCAACCTCCCAGTCTGCCCAGTCCAGCCAATGATGGTGCTTGGCAAGGAGGACTCTGAAATTTACATTCACCGGGGGTACACGTGTTCTGATCCCCGTAAACACTCCCTGTGGTGACTATTACGTGTGCGTCCCAGTAAACAGTAAGGAAGCCTACATCCACAAACCTGTGGAATGTGTCACTACGGTGCTGTTTCCATTTAAATAGTGCAGATTGAATAAAGACTTCAAACAGTTAATTGGTGTTGAGGTGACTTCCCTACGCCTAAAGCCCCATTAATCACCCAAGTCGTGGCCAGTCAACACGCCCTGAGAGTTCGATTTCTTTACTAGAGCTAGCAGAACCAAAGAACGGCTGCACTGTGTATATTTAACCGTTATTGTCCTCATGTCACCAGATAAGTGGATGCCACAGGGCCTCAGCAGGCATAGCACTACACTGTTTAAAGTATAAATCCCACTGCCACTAAGATAAAATCCAGTGACTATGCTCCAGTATCAGGAGACTTAAACCCTTTACTCCTGGACAATAATGTTTAATGAGGAATAACAAACAAATAAGTAAAACAAAAGAAAATAAACGATCCTCCTCATCCAAAAGGTTTGGATCTTTTGATCCATTGAGTGAATTTAATTAACATATATTCAATCACTGGCTGAAATGTATAAAAATAAAACTTTTACAACACATATTAGAAAGAATTATTTGTACAGAAATCATCAAAACCCAACAGAAGGTCTAAGGACCAAAATATGTTACAGATATAATATCCTCATAAGGTATTAAGTTATTGTCATTTGGGGTATGATGCCATGCAGGTTCATGCAAAATGCTGATACATTCAGACAACCATAATTTTAATGTCTACCATCATGAGAATAAGAAATCTCATTTACTCAAGACATATTCTCCATGTCATTTACAATTTATGACTGACAAAAGAACAAGTTTTTTTATTAGAAACTATACATATAAGGCATTGTTAATTGTTTAAAAATAAAGCATGGGCTTATCTTACCAGGAAATAGGATTAATACATAGGTCGTACCGAAAGTCACGAGCAACTTTTTTTTTGCATGCAACCTGGGAACAGCAGATGAAAGAGAGTATGGTGGTAGGTGGAACCAGCTGTTGTGTTAACCTTGAGTGTCTTGTGACGTCAATAGCTTGGACCAGTATCACTGCTAACAAAATGGCTGACAACAATATGTCGTTTTGCCAGTGTGCTGTCATTGAATTTCTTGTGAAAGAGTAAATCCCTGCTGCAGAAATTCACCAGACTTCAGCGTGCTTATGGAATTGTGTGCATGGGTCCGAGCAGTGTTCGAAGATGGGTGAAACATTTTAAAGATGGGAACACCAGCATCGAAGATGAGCCTTGGAGCGGTCGTCCTCGAACAGCCTCAACTGAACGCAACAAGGAAAGAGTGGATGAGATCATTCAAGATGACAGGCATGTGACTGTGGACACAATAGCCTGAAAACTTGGAATAGGGCACAGTGCAGTACAGGATATGATTGAAAGTTTGGACTACAGGAAAGTTGTGCTCGTTGGGTTCCATGGTTACTGACTGAAGACCACAAAGGTCAGCGAAAAGCCATCACCTCAGAACTGCTACAGAGATATCGACACGAAGGTGATGATTTTTTGCTCTGTATTGTGACAGGTGAAGAAAGCTGGTTTCACCATTTCGAGCCTGAAATGAAAACTGCAGAGTATGGAATGGCACCAGTTGCATTCTCCATCAAAAAGAAGGCAAAGACAGTGCCATCAGCTGCGAAGGTGATGGGCACAGTCTTCTGGGATGCAGAGGGGTTTATTCTGGCCGAATTCCTAGAACCTGGGCAAACCATCAATGTTGCTCGTTATGTCCAGACACTGCACAAGCTCTGTCGTGCATTGCGCAATAAACGTCAGGGACGAAACATCATCATCCTGCATGACAACACTTGCCCCCACGCCGCTCGCCTCACATTGGAAGCAATTGCAAAGATGGGGTGGGAAGTACTTCCACACCCCTCCTATAGTCCTGATCTGGCATCCTCCCACTACCATCTTTTCGGATTTGTGAAGGATAGGCTGTGTGGACAACGTTTTGAGACAAGGGAGGCAATTCAGAAAGCAATGCATCAGTGTCTTCGGATGACTGGAACGGAATTTTACAGAAGGGGATTTTTCAAACTCCCGGAATGCTGGGAGAAATGTGTACAAAGAAGTGGTGATTATGTGGAAAAATAAAGAAAGGTCTGTAGATTGAGGTGTTGTATTTGGTTTGTCAATAATAAAGCATGTTACTTTACAAAACATTGTTGCTCGTGACTTTCAGTACAACCCTCGTACTTTTATCAAAGGAAATTTACTCTTCTTTATTTTACTTTACTCAGCCAACCATCTACCCACTTATCCACTCCCTTAACCTTTAACGACCGAAAGTCCGGTATACCAGACGGTACCTGTGACCTCGAAGATGCCGAAAGTCCAGTATACTGGACGCAAGACACGTGCTCACTTTAGAAGTGCTGACGGATAGACGTTGAGTTTGAAACCAAAACAAACACACGCAAGTTCAAGTCAGAGGTCCAGTTGTTGGCTCTGAACAATAAAACCCTTCATCATGGCACTGGGTTCGATTTCGTTCACATGTAGGTAAGACTATTTGTGACTTGGTCAGCCAAACAGAGTGGAAGCTTCTTCACAGAAAAGCTGAACCAACATTCCTCTGTGCGGGCAGATCACTGCTTCTGTAGCTCTCAAAGAAGTGTGACGTGTTTATTGAGTGTCTGAATTATCAGCTTGTGAGTCAGTGGCGGACTGTTTCTCTGGGAAAGCCAAGATTTTTCATTCAGTCATCTGGAACTGAACATTGACAACACTGTCCGGCCAGCCAGATAGAAACAATAACTTCCTGTGTGTTCGCTAAGCGAGAGACTGAACCAGATTGTCTACCAGCGTATGAGAAGTGAGGTCTGTGTGACCTTCACAACGCGCTGAAGCAAACTCTGCCTATCCGCGCTCCCGCACGCAGTATCTATAGTAGCGTAAACTTACACGACGCAACGAGTTGAAACTCGTGTACAGTCTGACCAAACATTTTGGTGTATAGTGTCAATGTATTTTGGATATAACGACGTCTCAAATTCGAAGAAAAAATTATGGGTAAGTCTTTTGGAATTTCATTACACATATAATAGAGAGTATATTTTGAATTTCATGACATAACAATCACAGTTAATTTTTATTTTTAAAAATTGCCATAGGTATATTGTAGGAAATTTCATTCTCTTTCAGGCGGTTTTTAGTTCGTGTTTCTAAGCTGCATAGAACGGAAAATATGAAGTTTTTTCTGAAAGTCTACAATATTAAAAGGGCAACGTCAAATTAACTCCGGCAGCAGCGCAGTCGTGGGGGGTTTAAATGCCGACTCTTAAAGGTTAAGAAGTTTTTGTTTGTTTATTTTTTACTTATTTATGTATTCATTTATTCTGACCTGAACTTGAATAATTAAGAACAAAAAAGCTACGGTCACCAATGGCCTCAGTGGCCTGTATTTGCACATTCCTGGCTGTAAGGACTGTAATTAAACATCCATCATACTGGAGGTTCATGCCAGTTTTTTCACAGAGAAATATAATTGTGACCATAACACATACATGTCGTATAGGTAGAGCACCAGATGGATTGGGGTTGAACTTCTGTTGTCGTGTTACATGTGAAGGTGCTGATGGCATGGGCTGAATGTGGTTCTGTACTGATGGAATGCTCACTGATGGAAAAGCCTGAGGCTCTGGTAGAGAAGGATCAACCTGTTCAGGCGAACTCTTGAAGATCTAAAAGAAAATAAAGCCCATTGTGAGATATTATAATTAAACAAGAAGTTCTGGTAAGAATTAATTGCCTACTTTCCTTTCACTCCATATTGCATATTTGATATGACATGGACCACACAGAAAACACTGCATCAAACAATGCTTCTATCATTGTGTGTGTATTCAATGTTCCAGGAACATGTTTAATGAGCTCTTGATTAGCAACAGCTGTCTCGTCTGGTTTGACTATTGATGGGCTTAGCACTGGCTGGTTCCTAGCCTGTAACTGGTTGGCACCTAATTCACTGCAACTAGGTTTTACCTAACAAGAGTTGTTTACCAAGCCATTGCTTGGCATTGGCTGGTTCCTAGCCTGTGATTGGCTAGCACTTGATTCCCTGTGGTGGTTCCCACAGAGGTGATCTCATAAGCCTCCTTTCAATTTTTCAAAATAAGGAAAGCAAGCTAATAAATGGTGAGATGGTTTGTGCAGCAACTGAAAAACTTACAGATCTGGTACACATCAGATCACATAACTATGAAGGTCTAAAAGATTCAGCAGTTTTGAGTCTAAAATTGCTAGGATTCCATCTGTCTGTCATCTTAAAAATTAGGGAAAGAAATTATGCTGCATAGATACAGTTATTACTAAAATTCAACATGTGCCTTGTCAAATATTAGGCACTGAATTTGAAATGGATTAAATGCTAATTATAAAAACACTTATATGCTATAAGCACGCACCTTTTCATAGTTCTCAATGAGAATCTCCACAACAACATTACAAAACTTAATGTCCATTATGGCAGCAACAGTCTCCTCCTCTGATCGGAGCAATGTAGGACCAAAACACACTCCCAGATTGCTCACTGTCATAAGATTCTTGTCACTCTTTGCTGCAACACTGTATATAAATACACTAACCTGAGTCTTTATGTAACAGCAAAACATGAATACTTAGAGCTCATCTTCACATGACATGATAATTTCAAAGAATAAATTAAGTTCCTCCATTTAAGGCTATCCTCAGTTTAGTGTTAAAATGTATTACTCCCCACAGAACACTAAAATGGAGATTTCATAATACATGATTGCTGGGCAAACCAAATTATGGAAATGGTATAGATCCAATACAAGGCAACAGACAATGCATGTGTCCATGTCAGGTCAGAGAAAGAATGAACACACATTCTCTTCCCTCCCACCTACCTAGCTGCTAATTTCCCCCCTATTCCCAGTGCCTGTCATTCTTAATGTGTCTCTTAATGTCTTCAGGGTTCCTCTTTGCATTTTTGGTTTCTTACTCATATTGATGGGGGGGATGTGCAATGTAGTGAGGGCATGTGAACAGGTAGTCAAGTTGGACCATACCTGCTCATGTTCATTCTTTCCTTGACCCAAGTATAGTAATGTAACTGCCACAAAATGTTTTAACTGGCAAATTACATAATGATGGCTTGTTATCTGGTTGCATGTCAAAGTACTGAACAGGTACAATTATAATATGAGGCAGCAAAGTTACTCACTTCTTTAAATGCTTTATAATAATATCGAGCATATCACGATTCTGTTGTGGAAGCCTGTGGATAAGGGTGTGAACATCATTCACCCTCAATGTTCTTGTTTCTTGTTCTGGAAATGATATAAATAAAATATAAAACAATTCCTTAAACACATCAAGAGATCCCAGAAGCATTTTCTTCTCTTAAAAATGATATGAATTATGAACACAGTGAAAATGTGACAAAAGTTATGAACAGAAGACTAAATACATGAATATATATGTAATTGTCTTGAGATTTACAAGTATATTCTTAGATTTATTCTTTGAATGTGTTAGTTTCTCTCATACATTTAAAAGCACAATTTTCAAAGACATATCATTCATAAGTTTGAATTAAACTGGTGTTGTACTTATTTTCCTGAGTGAATGTTCACTTCTCTTGCAGGACTCTGCTTTATGGGGTTAGTTTAATTACTTACTAACACAATAAGTTGTGGGAAGAACTAATCACCTCCTTTCCTTTGACACAACACAGGCCAAATAAAAAAACAAAAAGTCCAACAATTCTTTTACTGTTGCAGGTGTAGTTGTCAGGTAACATACTGTGACGTGTTGCGCAATGGAGGACACCCCCTCCCTCCCCAGCGGTCACGTAGCAGGTGAGTCAGCGCTCCACCCCCCCACNCGCAACACCGCTGTTGACACAGGCAACAGGCAACAGCAAACGGAATAAAAGCCGGCTTAGCAGCAAGCGAGAGTTAGTGTGTGATCAGGAGTGACACAGCTCTCGAGTTCCCAGGCAGCAGTTCTCAAGTTACGAGTTAACCAGGGATTCAACCAGCATTTGCAGTCAAGTAATTGTAATACTGCAGATAGCAGTAGTTGTGAGATTGTAAAAGGTGTGGTTGTAAGAGCAAGTGTGTGTTAAGGAGTGGCGCCATGAAATATAGCAGCCACCGAAGTCAGTCAACAGTGTGTGAGTTGGAAGTCAGCGTGTGATCAGGAGTGACACAGTTCTCAAGGCAGCAGCCTACGAAGCGAAGTTAATGTGTAGCGGCCACCGAAGACAGTTAAAGTGTATCAGCTGTCGAAGTGAGTTCTCCAGTCAGCAGTGAACGCGTTAAAGTGTAGCAGCCCACGAAGCGAGTTCTCAAGGCAGCAGCCTACAAGCTAGTTGGAGTATAGCAGCCGTTGCGGAAAGAAGAACCGGATGCGTTTGTGATAATCAGTGATAGTTTGTGATAACTAAGAAGTAATTGGGAGTGTGTAACACAGTGACACTTATATAGCTCCCGTACTGTGAATATGTGTAGACTACTGAGGACAGTGTGAAGGAGATTTGGTTGTAGGGTTTGTAAAGTGTGGAAACCTGTAACGTTGTTATAATTAATTGTAGCCCATATTTGTAGGTTGTTAAATAAACCAATTAACAATCTGAACGGCGTCTACAGTAACGAAACACGTTACAATATTTTTTGAGTCATTGCCTAGCAATAATAGGAAGAATACACATATAGAAACATAGACTGATGGGAGGGATTTACAAAGTACACTACTGAGATGGGCTCAGCTACCATGATATATGCACCAATTCGAAAGTAGATATAAAGGGATACACAGATTCATAGAGATGGAGATCACATAAGCCTACTTCAGGGGGGGGGGAAATAACTCCTTGGTTTTAGTCCGCAAGCAAACTATAAAAATTAAGAACTTCTGTCATATAAGACCCAAGACGCAATTTAAGCACACAGGGTGTAAGAAGTACTTCAGATAAACTTACTGGCTGCAGCTATGAAACTATTATGGTAACGGAATGTCGTTAGAGGTTCAGGGAGACTTCTCAAATAGGTCTTCAGCGAACTGGTGATTGTCTTGGTCTCCCAATCATATGAGTCATCCAGGGCACTCAATTTATCTGCTTTCCGCTGGTCCAGTCCCACTGACAGCAATTTTGATACTTTAGAGCTTACCCCTCCTACTCTATACAGACCCTGCTCTTCCAGACCTATAGATAAAAATGGACACATTCACAGTAACAGAAGCAGTGAGATAACTCTAGCACATTACAACAAAAATCAGATGTAAAAGGACAATTGTGTGTTAGGAAAAAAAACTGTCATTCAGGTACATAAAGTATAATGAGTTTGATTTGTTTGAACTTATGTGATGGTGCTTTCCTATTTGTAGTGATGTTTGCCCTCTGAAGATGGTCCACAGAGACCGAAACATGTAAGGGTGTTAAGTTTTCATGTAGTAAAAAACTTACAGGTCACATTGGACAGAGTGATTTATATTTGTAATGTATAATGCATTCTGCTTTGGCATGAAACATACCAAAAACATGTATATGATTTCATTTTATTTTATTCTTACTCTAAAGTATGACAACCTGAAGATTCAAAATTATAACTTAGTACATACCTCTGTTTTCGAGCACTTCAATACATCGTTTCACAAAATTGAAGCCGGTTTCATCTAGGTTCCTCTCTTCTGTTTTGGGGATCTTTCCTGGCATGGCATATGTCTATAATACATGAAACATTCATATACAATTTAACCAAGTCCGAGTAAATAATTTCTGGCAAAAAGGAAGATACAGTGGACCCTGGACTACCTGCATGTGATTTTCCACTTTGTGGATTAACAGTGGCATTTTAGAGAACTCTCTAGCTATTAATTATAGGGTCATTCCATGTGAAGTCATCCAGATAGGTCACTCAATCATTAAAAAAAAATTGTGTACGCTTATTTCTACATATTTTCATACTTTAAAAATATTTAAAAAACTAATCCGCTCGGTTCTCCCGGTACAGCCGTTTTTATAAAGCGAAAAAACGCGTTTTCGGCTGAAATGGATATTTGCGTTACCTTCAATATCTCGATAACTACTGATGCTAGACTTCAATAAAAAACCAATTTGTTCTTCATGATATGGTCTACAATTCATGTCATTACGAGGTTTTACTCAACTCACTTTCTCTGGGGCTAATTAAGCTTGAAAAAGAAAAAAAAACTATTTTTGACCTTCAAAAACCAATGGATGGGGGAAAGTATCAGATCTGTGGTTTCTACCATTTGTTGTTGTCTACATGACGAATATAATCACGTAGTTTTGAACCCCGTTATCTATTTGGCATACCTCCCTTCACGAACAATTTCACCCATCGTGCCAGTGTGCGTTATGGCAAAGCAGCCTCACGACATGCTTCTCGCAGTCCCTTATAACAGTTTTGTGCACTACGACCTCGTGCAACTTCAGTTCTTATCCAGGAGTGTTTTGTTCTTGTTTCGTAAACATGTTGTTAGGATGCTTGAACTGGACTTCTGCACTTCAAGACGATGATCAATGCAACTCAACGTAACGCATCCAAAACCACTCACTGCACCACTTCAACTGCACTCGTGCTATCAGCTACAGTCGGCGCTGGTGCCACCTGACGCACATCTTTCATGTTACAGCAGTGTTGCCACCGTTGCCACTATTTGTTATCCAACTCTTTTATCAGCGATATTTTGTAACACTTCGCAGTAGACTGTAAATCTTCTCACTTGCCGATGCTTTCAGTTTTTATTATTTCATTGCTTTTGCTACAGCCTATTATTACCAATCAGTGTTACTTCCTTCAACTGGAATGCTATATATCGCACTGTTTAGTGACTAGCAGCATAAGAAGTAAAAATTAACATTCTTTTTCAAAGTTTATTGCAGATGGATAATGGGTATTTCCAAATTTTTTATTATTCAGTGTTTTTAATTATTCACTCTACTTCTCTCTTCCATTCCTGCAGATAATCAAGAGTTCACTGTATCAGAACCTGTTATTTCCAAAAGAAATCCATACACCCCACCCAGTCCACCACATGAATAATTATTATAAACCAGTCTATGAACCCATGCATAACAAAAATACACCAGTAAGTGCCACCTGGTCATATAGGACCTTAAGAAGTGTGCAGAAATCGCGAAGACACATCTTTCTGTAAGAAAACAGCATTCAAATAGCAGTAGTCTTCCCTGTCATCCCATAATAAATTGAAATACTGTATCATGTAGACCCACTGCTAATAATGGCTCTGTAAATAAAGACTGTTGAAGGTAATGACCGCAAACATTATTATGAAATGATCTAACAACACAACACTCAGTATATATTGTAACATGGATGGACACAGCGTTGCTAGGTAACTGACCGAATACAGGCACGGAAACAATGGGAGTGCAGCGTTTTCTATGGAGTCCGTGCCGCGACCATTCCTATGCAATCGGTCGGTAAACACGTTCCAACAATATAGGCTGTTTTCTACGTGGTCGGTGTGGAAGTTATACAATGACAGTTGCAGACAAAACAGAAGTCTGTATTCGGGAGTATTTGAGAGTGGCAGAAGCAAGTGAAATGGAACCAGGAATGCAGAAGGTCGCCCTGTGAGGATGTAAACTGTGACTGTAAGATATCATGTGTAATATTTTGAGTGATCTGGAGTGACAGTTTGTGTCGAGATCCGCTGCTAGGAGATGACCAGTGGAAGACAGAGAATCCTAGTGTGCGCGCAACGGTGAACTGAAGTGTATATAAATTAGTGACAGCGCTGTATTAGAGTGTAACTAAGAGAGTGTGTAACCAAGTGGTTAATAAAACTCAATTACCAATCGGAACGGCATGTTCAGTAGCTAAACATGCTTACTTACTTACTCATGGAACTGAGCCCTTCTGGAGGAGCAGCCAATTCTGTAGCTACTCAAGAATTTCCCAGCATTTTATGGAACCAGAAGATTCATTACCATGTTCACAAGAGCCCTCCACCGACCCCTATCCTGAGCCAGACTAATCCAATCCATACCATCCCATTCTATCTCTCTAAGATCCATTTTAATATTGTTCACCCACCTATGCCTTGGTCTTCCTTGTGGTCTCTTTCCTTCTCACTTTCCCACCAATATCCTATATGTATTCCTCGTCTCCCCCATTCGTGCTACATGCCCTGCCCACCTCATCCTCCTTGACTTGAACATTCTAATTATACTTGGAGAAGAGGACAAGTTATGAAGCTCCTCATTATTCAGTTTTCTCCAACCTCCTGTCACTTCATCCCTCTTTGCTCCAAATATTCTCCTGAACACCCTGTTCTCAAACACCCTTGATCTCTGTTCTTCTCCTAATTAAATGTCAGAGACCAAGTTTCACACCCATACAGAACCACAGGCAAAATTATAGTTTTGTATATTCTGATTTTTATGCTTTTGGACAGCAGACGAGAAGACAAATGGTTCTGGACTCAACGGTAGCAAGCATTACCTGAGTTCAATCTTCTCTCAATTTCCTCCTGAAGCAGGTTTTGATTTGCTATAATCGTTCTCAAATATCTGAACTGTGCCACATTTTCAAAACATCTGTTTCCTATCTTTATGTTGTGATTTTGCCCTACATTTTGGTGATGAGACAGCAACATATACTTTGTTTTCTCTGTGTTTACTTCTAGACCAACCTCCTTACTTGTGTAAATTAAAGTTTGTGTGTTCTTTTTATGTTATCTATATTATCACCCAGTAGATTCACATCATTGGCAATGACCAACAGCTGATGTGTTCCATTTAATTTCAGTCCCATCTGGTTTTCCTGGACCTTCCTAACGGCATATTCTAAAGCAAAATTTGAAAAGCAGTGGCGATAAAGCATCTTGTTTTACACCATTCTGGATATGAAGTTTTTCAGACGAATGTTTACCTATATGGACTTTACTATACATTTCGTTTATACACATTTTATTCAACCTAACTAGTATCATGGGTATACCAAACTCTATCAGAATATTGTACAATAGTGCCTTCCTAACTGAATCATAGGCTTTCTTGAAGTCTACAAATAGCTGATGTACTGTCTCATTGTACTCCCATTTTTTTCTCCAATATCTGATGAATGCAAAAGATCTGATCTGTAGTTGATCTGTTACGTTGAAATCCACACTGATGACCCCTAATAATTTCATCTATATATGGACTTAACCTTGAGAGAAGGAAATTGAATAAAATTTTGTATGAAGTTGACAGCAGTGATATCGCCCGATTATTACTACAGTCAATAGTGGGAACATCCCACATACTAACACGCAGTTTTGCCGGTCTAACAGATAACACTCACTCCTAGGTCAATATCACACTGCCGCACTCTGTTGCAGATGCTCATATTTATACAGCACTCGATGTCCAACCCACCTGTAGATCATCACTTGTGCTAACCAATCACCTTGCTGCCAACGCTCGTATTTATACAACACTTGATGTCCAACCCACCTGTAGATCATCATGTGTGCTAGCCAATCAGCACTCACAACAGCAACTGCAAGTTTAAGCTCTGCCCAGCAAGCATGGTATAAAAAGGCGGAGCAAGGAACTAGCAAGAGTCAGTGATCACATTCAGTCCAGAGTGATCAGTCATCAGTCATCAGCTCTCCAGCAACTGCGCGGTGCTACTAGACAGTTAACGTAACTGCCGCAACTCTCAAGCAACTATGCTCTGCGACCAGGCAACTGACGTAGTTGTCGCAAGTTTCCAGTGACCACGCTCTGTGACCAGGCAACTGACGTAGTTTTCCGCAACTCCAGCAACCGCACCGTAGGCAGCTGTTTCTACCGGCGCATGCAGCACTACATCACCGACCAGATAGGCCAGCTGAATGGCCTTAACACTTGGTCTACTACGAATCAGCAAATTCTGCCAGTGCACTCGCGGTGGAACAAACTGCCCTTTTGAGGGCCATCCAACTTTTGAACATTCCACATAGCTTCGCAGCTACTCTGTATATTCAACTTATACAATTTAATATATACAATTGTTACAGTTCTACATGGTTGTCATCTTGAACACCGACAATCCCACATGGTTTTATCACCCTTCTTGTGAACTGGTACAATAACAGACTGCTAAACATGCTACAATATTTATATAATGTCTTTACATGTTTCGGTCAGCTATGACCATCTTCAGAAGGTAATAACAACATGCTAAAAAACTACTATTACACAGATCATAATACATATACTTATAGCTTTGTATAAAGATTTTTAATTAAGTTAAAAGGTGTTTAAGTTAAAAATATATTATTGATGTTCTTAATACTTAAAATCTTGAACAGCTGAGGTTTGTGTCTCCGTGCCTCTTCTGTCAAAACTGGAGATTGGGGTGTTATTTGCCGTCCTCTGAGGTCTGGGAAGTGACTGTTCCCCCCTTTTTAAACATGATTAATTAAGGTTCTGTGTTGTTGTTGTTGTTGTTGTTGTTAAGTTGCTAAGTTGTTTCTCTTTTTGTCCTGTATTGAGGCACTCAGAGGACGGCAAATAACGACCTAATCTCCTGTTTTCATAGCAGAGGCCTGGAGACACATATCTAAGAAGTTCAAAATTTTAAATATTAAGAAAATTAATAATTTATCTTTAACTAAACCACCTTTTAACTTCATTAAAATTTTTATACAAAAGTTTAAGCATATGTATTATGATCTATGCAATAGTATAGTTCCTTAGAATGTCGTTGTTGCCTACTGAAGGTGGTCACAACTGACTAAAACATGTAAAGGTATTACATAAATATGTGGTGCGTTCCGCATATAATGCCACCTATTTTTTTGTGTTAATATGTAACGTCTGAGCTGGATGTTGGTGGTGTTGTAGTAAAGGTTGAACCTTCCTGCCAATGTACTGTTAATTTGGTTGTCGTGCGACAGATAGCGACAGCAGAGCAGTCTACCAAAATGGCGTCTGAAATAGAAGTGTGTATGAAAGAGAAATGTATTATTGAATTTCTCACTGCCGAACAAATTGTACCCACTAATATCCATCGATACTTGCGAAAGGTGTACGGAGACAATACAGTGGATGTCAGCACAGTGATTCAGTGGGTAGTAGGTTTTAACAGTGGCGAAAGTGAAGTACACGACAAGCCACACTATGGGCGTCCCTGCTCAGCTGCCACTCCTCACAATGAACAGCGCCTCATCCGAACTGATCAGCAGATAACGACCAGGGACTGTCAATTCTGAACGCTACAAGACGACGCTGACTAAGCTGAAAGCCCGTATTTCCCGAGTCAGGCCAGAGAAGCAGACAACCTTTCACTTGCAACACGATAACGCTAGACCCCATACCAGTTTGGCGACCACCGCGCACATTGCAAAATTTGGCTGGACTGTCCTACCACATCCACCTTATAGCCCCGATTTAGCACCTTCAGACTTCCATCTCTTTGGGCCTATGAAAGACGGACTACGTGGGCAACATTTTCCAGACATCGATGCTGTCATTGCAGCTGTAAGAAAGTGGCTAGCCTCTGCTGGCGCAGACTTCTACAGGTGCGGCATACAGGCTCTTGTTCATTGATGGCAAAAGTGCATAATGAATGGTGGTGATTATGTGGAAAAATAGCTGTAAGTAGCTGAAATCTTGCTCTATTTAACTGCGTTATTTTGATTTCTGTATCTGTTGTAGTTTTCTTTAAAAAAAGTAGGAAGCATTATATACGGAACACCCTTAGTATATACTGAGTCACACAGGAGTGTTGTCAAATCATTTTATAAAAATTAACTAGTGTGATGGACCAGAACGAATAAAGTTAAAGCCACAAACATACACAATAGAAGACTTGTTGGAAGCAGTATTTTCTGCGTGTTCTGTGCCAAGGATACATAAAGAGTGAGCAGAGTGAAGTGGAGTGAGGTGGTTGGTGAGAGAGCAAGTAAGTGAGTGATTGAGTGAGTTAGTTAGTTAGTTAGTTAGAGGAGTGCTGCAGTTGTCTTTGTGAGCTGTTGCTGTCAGATGCTGGTAACTGAGGCATGGGAATAGTTTGGGAACATGGAGTAAGGGAAACGTCTGCATTGGAAGCCACTACCAATAAACGGCTAGTAAAGATGGTAACAGACTGTGAACACTAGTCTGTATGTGATGGTGACTCGTGAGATGCACCAGTAAGTTGTATAAGTGTGGAATAAGTCCAATTAGCAATCCAAACTTCATCTACGAGTATAGTCACTCATAAATGTGAAAATATTAAAATAGAGCATTCTTCTTGCTCAAACCTGCAAACAACCCATAAAAAATAAAAGGGGCTAAAATTTTTAATGGAAAACATATAATAAGGGGGGGGGGGGTATGCTACTGATACAAGGCAACAAACTTTTACCTGACAGTGCAATCTGTATGGGTTGTTTATCAGCTTCAAAAGAAAAAAACGGGGAAAAAAATGATGGAAAATAAAAATTGATTTTAGTTCCAAGGAGATAATGAGGATAAAATAGCAGCTACACACTTAAAATCAAGACCAACATCTTCTGTCATGAAGGTGATGTACAGTACAGTAGTCCGAGCAATGTAAAACACATTCAAGGCAGGGCAAGCTATCAGACCTCCATATTTGCTTAAGTGTAAAATTTACTGTATACATTGGATAATTTAAGGACAGCATTCAAAGCCTACTTTATAGATAGTGGTATCATATATTCAAGGTCATCTTATTTGACTAATATTGTGCTTTATTATCTTGCAGTCTATTCATCAAATAAATAAAAGAGAATATTTGTGGGTTTGTTTGTTAATGCTGTAACTACAAAAGCAAGGAACCTTGGGAGCTGCAACTTAACATACATACTTAACGGAAAACTGAGATTATGCCTGAAATGAGTATGCAGTACATGATTCCCAGAGGCATCTTTTACTATTCACTGTAAATAATTTCCCTTGATAATTCATTATTGCAAACATAAATCTATTCCTGCAAAGGTAACCATGATATAGATATGACAGTATATATAGGTAAGTCAATAAGTTAGTTACAAATGGATATAGAACTTAAACAAATAAGAGTATTGATTTGAAAAATGCTTTTATTTCTCAACATAATCTCCCTGTACATTAAGACACTTGTCCCATCGTTTCACAAGCCCCTGAAAACCAGCAGCATAAAATTCTTTGGGCTGCTGTCAGAACCACGTGGTAATTTTCCTTTCTACAGCTTTCTACAGCATCACTTTCCTGGAGGGTGGTGTCACCTTAAACATTCTTTTGGCAGACGATGCAGGATGTTTCCACTGCAGTGACACATGCTTTGTCTCGGGCTGGTAATGGTGAACCCAAGACTCATCACTTGTGACAATTCAGGCTAGCATATCGTGTCCATCATGGTAGTAATTGAGATGCTGTAATGCCAGACCCATTCTTTGCATTTTGTGTTGTGGGGTCAGCATGCGCGGCACCCATCATGCACAGACTTTGTGAAAACCTAACCTGTCATGCATTATGAGGTAGGCCATGCCGTGTGAACACACCTGGTTCCGACACCAGCCCAAAGAATGTTATGCTGCTGGTTTTACAGGGGCTTGTGAAATGATGGGACAAGTGCCTCAATGTACAGGGAGATTATGTTGAGAAATAAAAGCATTTTTCAAAACAGTACTCTTATTTGTTTAAGTTCTATATCCATTTGTAAATTACTTACTGACTTACCCTCATAAAATAATCATTATATGCTTACTGTTACACATATTACAAAACAGAATCCTGCTATTCTTATTTTGGTTGATATTTTAATAACTTTTTTGGAATCCAGTCAGAGCTCGTTCTGTCAAGGTGTCCTTTTCAATCTCCTCTGTACTGCTCTATAAATTTTTGTTATTTATGGAATTTATAATTTTCTTAATAATTTCCTAATTTCTTGTATGGTCTGAAAGGGTGTACCTCCTCATGACATGCACTTCTGCTGTTACCAGTCTCTTCCAATTTGTTCTTATTGTCCATGATTGATGAGTGTAAGAAAATGACAGTTTAGGAAAGTGTCTTATAAATTTGTATTCCTCTATATAAACAAGATCAAATTTATAATTTTTACACCAAACTTACAAAAACCTGTATTAATTCTAATGACAGTTGCTTGACAACTTTTACTGCAGACACCAAAAACTAAATTTCATATGAATTTGGTCCGTAGTAACATAATATGTGATAAGATGCACAGATGGATATAAACCCCCTTACATGCGCTCATTTCATGCACTCTGTATAGGTTGAAATACATGCTTTACAAAGTTAAATGGAAGTTGGCATGGAAACACATAGGAGTACTATGCAATATCTCTGCTCTGAAGGGGTTAAAATATAGCAAGAGGCAGTAAGAATGAACAGATTAGGCAGGACGTTGACAGGAACTAAAAGAAAATTTGGTTTGGATGAGTGAGTTTCCAAACTCTGCCCACTGGCCAATACACTAAAGGAACAAAAATGTTTTTAAAACTGGATCTATTTGCAGTCAGATGAAAGAGTATGATGACAGTGTTATCCAACAGAATGACCTAGTCTCAATGATTTATCGCATGTCTAGAAATGGATCAGTCCAGTTATGGAAATCATATTTTTTAATGGGACAAACTGAGTAAGTACCTCTCCATTCCTTCACCTGCAGTAACCAACAGATCAATTTTCCAAAATATTATGTTCTTTCTGATTATCAGACAATGGTCACGGTCCAGAAACTCACTTATCCCAAGTTTAATATACTATCATCAGAACCTTTTAGAAATGGATGAAAGAAAATGTTATGGAACCAAGCCCTTTCCCTTCTCCACTTTCAGGTCTTGTTAAACTTTCAGAGATACAATTAATTAAATCTTGAGATGAAATATTAACAATGATTACTACTCTCAAAACACAGTGTTAAAAGTGTGTGTTATGTTAGCTGCACTCAGTGCAAAACGCAACATCAAAGATATGACAAGATTCCCACTCACCTGATCTTAGCAATCACAAAAGATACCCGTCATTTATTTTTCATTTGTCTTCTAAAATGTAAAAAATATAATATATTAATAATTTGCAATTAATCCAAAATTACTGTTCCGTAGCAAAAAGCCTATCTAACAGGTGGGAACCATGCTTCTGAGCTGTAAGTAAACGAAGTGGCTGCGTGCAGACAGTGGATTAAAGAAGCTACATACCACATGCTGTTGCTTATCTTCACTTACAGGTTCCTTGCCGTCCATCGCATCCATCCATAATTTTCGGTCATCCTCAGACAATGCCTGTAAAGTGTACAGCATGCCAGGCCTGTGTGCAGTAAGTAATGTAAATTACATTAATCCCATTCCTGACTGTGTCACTATAACCCTCAGTGGACTCATCAGGAGATGGCTCTATTAGGTTAAAGCTTATATAAATTTAATTACTTGTGACTCAGCTGCTCAAATGTAGTAATGAAGTGCTGTGTTCTGAGTACATTTAAAAATGCACTTAAAGACTAGTTCACAGCAGTGACTGCCAGAAACTGGAATATCCTACCCTCAAGATGGAGCAAGCACATTCTTTTATCAAACTACACAGCATTTATCCCAGAAGACAGTAATCTTCATAGTCACCATTGTGAGAACCTCAAATCTCAACAAGTCCCACTGCATTTACTTTCGTTTGTGGTCATTTATAAAGATTTAAGATGAAAGTGACTATGAAGAATGCTGCCTTCTGGGATGTAGCGTCATGCATATCTTGTGTGAACAGACATTTCGGAGGAATGCATTGCCTCCATCTTCAGGGTAGGAAATTTGCAAGCGAGGAAACAGCATGAGCAGGTGGCTGCAGACTCAGTCTGAATACATACAATAAAATACACACAATATAAACAGAGGACACTTCAACCAACATACAAAGAGAAATATTCACAGAATTATTAATATTTTAAAGTGTGTTTAAATAGTACTGGGAAGACCAAGGCGTAGGTGGGTGGACAATATTAAAACGGATCTTAGAGAGACAGGATGGGATGGTATGGATTGGATTGATCTGGCTCAGGATAGGGACCAGTGGAGGCTCTTGTGAACATGGTAATGGTTCCATAAAATGCTGGGAAATTCTTGAGTAGCTGCAGATTTGGCTTCTCCTCAAGAAGGGCTTAGGTCCATAAGTAAGCAAGTGTTTAAACAGTTTCCAAATATATGATACTTAAAAATAGGTTATAATAGCAGTGACTATGGTTGACTACTATCTTCTGGGAAGTGAGGCTGTGCAGTCTGGTACATAACTGTCACTGTTATGCAGGAAATGAATGAATGAATGAATGAATGAGGGGCAGGCCTTCTCGGCCCTTGCACCGTGACCTCAGTGGTCTACTGTTATGCAAGAAACGTTTTGACTCCATCTTCAGGGTAAAAAGAGATGTGAAGATGGAGGAAGCACATTCCCCTGAAATGTCAGTAATAAAGTATCAGGATATACAGTGTCATATCCTAGAAAAAAGTACTTTTCAGCTGAAAAATTCTTGCATTCAGGGTAAAAACAGCTGGAACTGAAGAGACAGTCTGATACATTTCCAGCTGGGCCTGAAAAGTGTATCATACCCGCACTGGAAAATTAGTTTCAACATCTTTGCTGTTACACTTGCATTCATGTTGGAATGACAAATCATCCAGTGTCAACATTTTACTTGATCACCTGACATTCCAAAGCTAGTTTCATACTTTCCACTACTATGGAAGTGTTGCACCAAACAATTCATGGATTCCTAAGAACTACTACAGCAGTACTGATAAATGGACTGCTATATCACATGATTTTAGCTTCCTTATTTTTTTAGAATTGGCTGAGTGTTAGCAGAGACAGTACCATGCACTGTCAACTATGGACAAAATGAACAAGGTTTTCAAATCATATGTCAGAGACAGAACTGCAGTTCTATATAAAATGTGAAAAGGGTAGAAAAACCCAAGGCTGGGGCTGGCATAGCATGTAACTCAAGCTTACTAGTTAATGGGCTACGGATGGAACCTTGTATAATATAAATACAAATTATGGGGTGAGGGGAGGGGAAGTATGCAAAGCTCATTCTCACAAAATGTGTCACAAATAACATACAACACTGTTAATTTTAATGTGATTTTTTCCTACATATTTTACTGACGATGCAGTGCAATACAATAAAGAAATAACAAGTTGTTAAAAGTCTTACCTGTCATCAGATGTAATGTCAAAACAGAAGCGCTTTTCTATAGAATCTGACATCCTTCGAGTACATGATGCTAGGGTCATTGTATCTGCAGAGTTCTGTAAAGGAATGTTAGAGAAACAAATATGTACTGCAGTCTGAAAAATAAAATCTGGTGGGCAACTGATAAAATACTAAAATTGGTCAAAAGGTAAGGTAAAGGTATCCCTGCAACAGGCCGTGGAGGTACTGGTTCATTTTAAAATACAGTTATTTTCATCAGTAGGGAGAATTAACCATACTTTATGTGGGGAAACCTGAAGTTTCTTAAATGCATAGTCCCTATATAGTTAACCACCTGGACAGCATAAATAACGTTGTTATATCTTATGGTCATTTATCATCTTTTTCTTGTTTTATGACTGCTAATTACAAACTGGTAGTATTTTATGCTCAAGTAGTTTTGTGGTCGTATCTCTATTAATTAGCACACTTTTATAAAATGATTGAACTTTCCATGACTTGAGTGGGGTAATAGATGTGCTAATATGGTATTAAAATTTCATTTCATTTTATATAGTGGATAACTTTTTATGTACAAAGTTACATAATTTGAATTGTTTTATCTGTTTATTAATTCAAAATATATCTATATTTATAATTTTTTAAAATTGTTACCGTGTAATATTTATATTTGCTTGTTAATCTTATATTTAATTTTGACAAAATCTTTTTATGACTGCATGTTTTTTTGACTTCCTCTATATCCAACAGTTGTACCAGCCTGGATTAACAGATGTGAAACAAATGAATGAATGAATGAATGAATGAATAGCTATATCATCACAAATTTTCCAGTCATCTGGTTGTAAGGAATCATCTTAAATTCCTTGGTATCTCTATGATAAATGCAATAGTGCTTGGTCCATGTCGTACCAAATGCCTCTGTAAATGATGTAAGAACATTTTGAAACTGAAAGCAATTGCGTGGCATAGTACAAATTAAATCCTGACTAAACTACACTTAAATCCACTCTGCCAAACTGCATGAAGACAATGACATTAGGCATGAATCGTGATTCAAGGAAAACTTTGTCCTTGTACCAGAAGTATGTTATCAACTGTTGGTAACAGCCAACATGTGATATAATGTGAAACTGGTTTCAGTCAGGTGATTAGCTGAACCTTCAGCAAGCAACATTAAAATTCAGTACATTCTAAATGGTGTATAATACTTGGAATTACTGTGTTTTTGGACTTTGTCCACCATCTGGTATTCTATAAATTAGAACAGTAATTGAGGTTAGTTCTTTTTAAGGGATCCAACAGACTAGGTGTCTTCCCCCTCACCAGAGGATGGAAACAGATCCAGTTTCTGACATGATATGTTTCCTAGTTTCTAGAATACTGGACAATTGACAAAAGAAAAAAAAAATATGATTAAAATTCAGGAAGGGAAAATTTACATTTTTAATAATTCTTCAGATTCTTAAACACACTGAAGACATGACTAACTGTACTAGTTGGCCAACTGGATGAGTGGTACTCATACGAAGCTTGTTATTACAGTGATAACACCCTATTTTTCTATTCAGAAGATAACTGATCAAGTCTGGGTCAATTACAAACTACCATTCCACTGGAAAGCACCATGCTTCACTTCCCCATCCTTACTCCAACTGCGACACCCATATATTGAACCATACCAATTTTTTGCCTCATCACTTTGAAGATGCCAACTGAAAGGCCAAATCAGAACAGCTTCAACACAAGTTACAGCTAAACCCAAAAAGCCACAATTACACATCACATACAGGCTGCAAAAATTAAGGAAGAGAATACTGTTACTGAATTCTTAATATTTTTTTCAGTCTCTGTAGGTGAATAGCATGACAGTACTTTTATCTGACCATGATCTTCGTTTTCCAAATTCTTTCCATCTTACATAACTTTTTATAATATTTTCGTCAGACACCGCATCATTAGATAAAAAAAAAACAACACAATTATGACGTGACTTGTGTAGTTTAGTAGATGGGTATAAATATTTCTCCACCTGGCAGATGGAGGCAGCAGATTCCTCCAAAAACACTGGTAACCATCTATCAAACTGCACAGCATCATATCTCAGACTGTAACCTCAATACTCAGTATTATACTGTGCTATATGTTTCGTTTAAACACATTTTAATCAGCCTAACTAATTTCATGAGTACCCCAAACTCTATCAGAATATTGTAGAATACTTCCCTCCTAACTGACTCATAAGATTTCTTTAAGTCTACAAATAGCTGATGTACTGTCTCATTGTACTCCAATTATTTCTCCAGCATCTGATAGATGCAAAAAATCTGATCAGTAGTTGATCTGTTACATTGAAACCTACAATGATTTTCCCTGACAATTTCATTTATATTGTCGCGTATCGGGCGTATATCGCGACAAATAAATTCTCGATGTATTCGATGTAACGAATTTTATTTCACATTCGCGCTTACAATCACCCAAATTACAGATTTACGGTTACTGCTATCTGCAGTATCACAATTAGTACACTCCAAATGCCAGAATACAACCGACTAGTTGCTGGCTAACTCGGCGGTAGCTCCAGGACTCACTGACTGACTCAGTACAACTCTGGTAGCCACATTAGGACTGACTGGTTGCTGGCTCTGAATACAACTCGGCGACTGTTACAGTACAACTGACTGTGAATAGCCTTCGCTGCTCCTTATGTAACCTCGATCGGACAATACGGCCACGTAATAGGCACCCTTGTTGCCTGGCGCTGTGTTGCTATGTAACGCTAGCGGAAGTAACCGCTGTTACTACCGTAACGTCGCCGCTGTTGACTCGCGTTGCCTAGCGACCGCGATATCCCTCGGTGACGTCACC